GCCCTTCTTCTTCCTCTCCCACACCTCAATGCTTCCGTTTGCTTTCACTAAACACAGCCCCACCGCAGCGATGCTCCCGGCTCAGCTCCCCCCCCCCCCGGGGGGCTCACAGCCCCACACTCCATCGCTGCCCTTTCTGGGCTCCTTCCACGAAAAATCAATGGCAGGGACGGCTGCCCCACAGCCTTTGCTTGGCTTTTGGCTGCTTTAGGGGCAAGGCTGAAAGGATGCTTCTTTTTAGGGCAGGTGGGGATTGTTTTATTGTGTGTGTATATATATATATATATATATATATATATAAGGCTGGTCAGAATCCAAGTTTATTTCATGGCGATGAGTGATTATTTGAGGCCGTACGGGAGGCTGTGGGTGTCTCTGGGTCACGCTGTCCATATAATAACAAGGCCTTTGCAGAAAGAGTCAAAGTTCTGGCTTCTTCCCCTGGGAGGGCAGAGGGTGGGCTCCAACCCAGGCTGGCCCCCAGCCAGCACGAGATGCACTGCAGCCCCCAGCTGGAATATTTGCTGTATTTGCCTCTATGTTTGGTTGCCCACAAGACCCAGACCACCTCCCAATTCTTCCTCTCCCCTACATTTTGAGATCACCAATCCCCCCTCCTCCTCCCTTGGGCATTACACCCCCTTGCTCCTCTGCCCAGGTCCCATCTCTCCATGGACATGCCCCGAGGACATTCACATTTCCCGTTGCTGTTTCTTTCTCTCTCCAACACCCCCAAGCTCAGACGTGAAGCCAGACCTTGCCACACTGCCTCCTTTCCCTTTTCCACCCCACATTGCTCTAACCTCATCCTATTGCACCAACCCCACAAACACTGAATTTTAACCTACACTTTGAAAATGCCTGGATGGGAAGAGGTGCTCAGGCAGTTGCACACCCAAACCCCAAGTGATGCTCAGCTAAACACATGCTAACCCTGCTGTTCCTTGCACCCTTCAGCAACAAATACAGTTTATCTAGCCTGGAAACTGGCTTCAGGGAGGTGGGCAAGGCATCATCCTTAGAATAGGCTGCAGGTTCCCCATGTCCTGAAACAGTGCTCTGGCATCACTTGGGGCAGAACATTTTTCCAGGAAGGAAGCCAGCAGGACATGCTTTGGATGTAGGGACAAGGGGAACCACATGCACCTTTGGGGTCTGCAACCCTCAGGGTCAGCTGAGAAGTGGCCAAGCACCCTGCACCATGGGGTCAGATACAACCATGCCAGCTTCCCAGCCATCAAAGAAAGAGATGGAGAGAGAAGGGGTGCAGCATGCCCTAGTGGGATCCCTGCAGCTCCCTCCTCCCTGGAAGCCCCTTCCCACCACCCCAGAGCACCAGCACTGCAGCTGCTCAAGGTGATGAGCAGCGAGTCAGCACAGAGCCATTAGGGCTAATTTAATCAAGACGGATGGGCTGGTTGGAGGGCTGCTGCCCATAAATCCCGTGCTTGCACTGCATTAGTGTCAGGGCTCCTGGAGGAGGAGGTGGGGGGGGGGGAAGTGGGCTGTGAAACATGCTAAGTCACCCGTCCTGCTGGTGGCATGGGGTCACAGGGCAGGGCTGGGAGTACCCAAATACACGCTGCAGAGGAACTCAATCTGCTGGATCCACCCCAGATTCAGGCTGGAACCTTAAAGTGATGTTGTGCCAGTGCACCAAGGAGCTGCAGGACGCCCCCATGGGGTGCCAGCCCTGTTCCTCCCCACCCCAAATAAATACAGCCATTGCCCATGCTATTAACATGCTTTAAGCATTCCAAACACTGTGAGGGCACCCAATAGGGGGCTGACCTGCTGCAGAAGACTTATGTAATAAGGATGGGGTCTTACTGGGGTGTCAACCAGGGAGAGCAGACGAGGACATGGACAGATGCTCACATTCAGCCTCCCTATTCAGAGCATCCGGGAGCTGTCATTGTGAAGAGCCTGTCCCATGAAGAGCCATGCAGCAGATAAACCATTCCTACCCCACAATGTTGAGCACAGCAGAAAGACATCAGTCCTTCTACCAGCTGACAAAACGGGGTGCTGCTCGTAGCCAGCAAAACTCTGCAGATTCTGCTAATGAAGCACTGCTCCATCCACTTCCCAGCTGGATTTGTCCCCAGCTCCAGCACCAGCACCAAAGGCAGCACTGGCATCCCCAGGGTGGGCTGGCCCTGTGCTGTGGGCTCAAGTTCTGCAAACCAGGCACTGGGATCTGCTGCTTCTCTCTACACCCCTACACCTGCCATGGGATCACACAGCATCCCAACTGATCTCAGCACTCCAATATGAGCCCTCTTGTGTGATCAGCTTCCTCTGACCCACCAGAGCTTGTTTCAGAGTTCCTGTAAAGAGGCTCAGGCCACATCTGTGGGATAAGTGCTTGAGAAGACCCCAGAGAGTTGGTAACCTACTCCTCACCTGCAGATATACAGCAGAAAAAGAGCCGTTCTGGGGAAAGCATCCCTATTTGGCATACCAACATCCTGAGATCTGGACAAGGGTCTTGCCACACCACGATCCTGCCCAGCAAATACAGGAGAAAGCAAGAGGCTTATCTGCAGCTATCATAACCTTCTGTGGTTGGGGGCGAGGATTTGGGGCAGCAGCTGTGATCACCAGACCTCGTGCGTAAGTCCAGTTCTAGCTCATGCCCTGGACCAGCAGGGACAAGCACATCTCTGTGCTGTCAAATGCCCCAAAAAGCAAAGCCCTCCATCCCCTCAGTGCTCTACAACACCATCGCTCAGCTCCCTTCTGCTCACCCACAGCACAGATTATTTTAGGACAGAAAGGAGCAAAGAGCTGCAGTGACCAACGATGCTCATTGCAGAGCAAGGACTAGGCACCCCAGGGAGCCAGCAGCCAAAAAATAACCAACAAAACCAACCCAAAAGCTTTCCCAAAGGGCTCTCTGCAGCTGCTTCCTTACATAAACGGCCTCAGGACAGCACCCCATGGACCACCAGCTGCTGCAAGGACAAAATCCACCCTGTCCTGAGCAGACGTCACCTAATCAGCACGTTGGCTTCCAACCAACGCGGTCTTTGGGACACACAGTAAGCATCTTATATAACCACCTCTGGATGGGGTCGGATCCAGTTCAGCCCCGTGATGTCCTCCTGCACAGGGAGACACAAAGGGTCTGGAGGAAAAGCTGCTTTTCCTACGCAGACCCACTGCACGGCCACGGGACCTCCTGGTGACCCATCTCCACTGCTCTGCTGAAGGAGATAATCAAGGGTATGGAGAAAAGCCTACAATGGCACAAAAATATGAAAGAGGGTCATAGCGACAAATCCTTTCCATCCCATATTTTTCTGTCCTCCAGAACTCAATAGCTGGGTGGGATGTGGAGATAAAACCTACTGAGCCCAGCACTGCCCAAGCACAGAACAGAACCTTCCCCTCTCTTTTCCTCCATTCTGGATGTTGGATAAGAAAAGACGAAGCAGCAGAAGGCTTCCTAGAGCCTTGACCCCCAGGGGGTGTCCTGGGTGTGCAGAAGTGGCTGTTCCCCACAGCACATCCATCTCTTCCCCCATGGTGAGGGAGAATTGTGAGTTTGTTTGTCAGGGAGCAAACTGTGCCTCTCCCTGGGGATCTTCTGCCACTGTTCCATTAAAGAAAGAGAGGAAACAGCATTTTAAAAATCCAGTGCTTAACAAGACAGCTGCAGGGAGGCTACTTGACTGATTGAGTTTTTACCTGGTCCTTACAGGCAAGCCAAGGTACTTAACATAGAAATGAGGTTTAGTCACAGCAAGGTGTTTGGGATTAGAGCTGGCTGAAGAAACTCTGATGGAACTACGTTCCTCCAGAATATGCACTGCTATCAGAGCTGAAATGCTTTGTAAGATTGAATAGGTTTAGCCAGAAGTTCATTTTCTAAAGAAAACCAGAGAGCATGGAAATATGCTGAATGAAAAATTGCGCTTTTTCTTTCAAGTCAGACTGTTGTGTGTGTTGGCTATTCTGAAGTCATGCATTACCCTGGGAAGAACTTGGAGAATTTGTTTTGTCTCTAACGAAAAATTTACCCAAACTCAGCAATTCCCCACTCCCTGCTGCTAGAATTGAAGACATTTATATCTTTGCAAGAGATGCTTGCTGCGGGCTGCAATGCCAGTGATACTTGATAAAAATGAGCTGTCAAAGCCCACCTGGAGAAAGCCTTGGGAGACAAGGGCAGCCCACCAGGACTCCGACAGGCAGCGAAATTGCAAACAAAGTAATGATGAACCTCTCTAAAGCAAGCTCATAGCAGCAACCAATGATTCCCCAGCCAGCAACTCCTCCGCCAAAGCTGGACCTCATTCCCATTGGATAAACCTGCTGGCTGAGCCCTACATCTGACCCAGAAACATCAGGGTTGGGTGTTTACCAGGAGCTGTGATCCCACCTGGATCAGACTCGCATTGGGCTCCAGCTTGAGCATTGAAATGGGGATGAGGATGGCCTGGGGCTCCACCTCCAAGACAGCACCTGGAGGCCAGGAAAGGGAGGGACAGGGAGGTCAGCAGCCTCCTGCCAGCCCAGCTGGGTGGATCTGGGAGGTTGGAACCAGATAATCCTGAAGTTCTCTTCCTTCCCAAACCATTCCATGATTTTGCACAGCTCCACATCTCACAGACACGGAACCATTTAGGTTGATCCTCCTGCATCAACACCCACTCACTGCTGCAGAAAACCACAGAGGTTTGTGCAAGCAGATCTGGGGTGTCTATGAGCTGTCCCTGTAATCCCAGCTGCATGCCTGGCCATCCAAATGAAACAGTGCTCTTACAGTTTTTTTGTTTTGTTTTGTTCCACCCCTCCCTTGCTTCAGGATCAGAAGACCTTTATGAATGACTTCCACTTAATCTCATTGCCAAGTGGACGTTGCTGCGTTCTGCTATCACATCATGCTCTGAAGACAGATAGAGTTTTCTGCCCGAGCAGAAGGGAACATTGTTTGTAGAACAGAGTGAACAACACGTGAAAAAGAGAGAGGGAGGAAATATATATCAGTGATGTTTGTTGGAAGAAGAAAGAAGCGCTCATCTGTTCCGACGAGGATTCTCAGCACGTACAAGCTCTGCTCAGAACAAAAAGAGTTGCTTGTTCCCCGCCGTGTTTGCAGGAATAGTCCTGTAAATATATTCAGAAATACTCAAGGCTGTAGAGCAGATTGTCTACCTGAGCATCCCAGCACCCCTACAGTGATGGGGGGGGTGCAGCCCCCCCACAGCCCCCTGGCCCCAGTCTCTTCATATTCCATAGGAAACAGGTGGCACGCTCAACAAGAAAGAGCCACAATACCAAAATTCCATTGGGCAGAACTTTGGTAAGAAAGATGGCTCTGTCTGACCTTGCTGGTGCTCTACAGGGTGTAGGTCAAACATTTCCATTGCCAAGTTGCTAACTCCCCCCCCCCCCAGGGGGGGGATATTTATATTGCTCATACTTATTCCCTTCCGAACTGCAGGGTGAAAAGAAGTAGCTGTCTGGATGGATTGGTCATTCCTGCCAAAATACTGGATACAACTGCTGGGGACGGATGGCTGTGACTGCAGGGAGGAGCTGCTCTGTCAACTGCAGTTGTGGATTCACAGCTTTTCCCATTTTCTTGACACAACATCCAGCATCCAAGCACAGCCTGGTGCATGTGGCCACAATTATGCTCCAAAGGCATCCTTCAGAGCTCCCATCAGCTTCCAGGAACTCAGAGCAGAACACTTTTTGCTTGCCGGGGCCGCAGCTCTGGTGAGGAGAGAACAAGCAAATCACATCTCTGCTCCCCGGGGAGTTCAAAGACACGGGGTGCGATTATCCGTGATGGAATCTGGCTTGCATAGAAAGCACTACAGTGGGAGTTGAGGCCCTGTGGGTCACGCAGGGACAGGCAGGAGGAAAGAGGGGCCCTCAATCATCAGCTGCAGACCCAGCCATCACCGGCAGCCACGTCGCGTAATCCAATTCGGAAATCTATCATGGAAATCTTAAAATGAGCTCCGTTTGCTGCCCTCCCACTGCCAGCATCTGCTGCTCCACAGCTGCCCCCTCCCGACAGCACAAGGATGCTCTGCTCCAGGCAGACCCACCCCAGGAAGGCCACGTTCACCCCATATTTTGGGGCACGCAGAGCTCTATGTGGGCATACACGGCCTCAGGGCTGACTCCATGACAGCATTTCTAGAGGGGAACAAAAACAGAGCAAAAACTGCAGCATAGAGCACGGTGTTGTCAGGCTGGAATTAAAAGGCCAATTACTTTATGATCTCCTGGGTACAGGGATGGTCTTTGCTCATACAAACAGGGCTTAATGAGACAAGGTCCTGGCCCAAAGTAAAGATGTTTCTGTAGACCGGAGAGCAAAGATATTTGGATGAAGACAGAGGTTGAGTCACTGAAACTGAAGTGGGCTGAATTTTGCCCGTATAGCCATCCCTGTAAATCCCAGCCAGAGGATTTTCTGGATTACATGTGCACATTCCTTTCCCTGCCACTTCATTAAATAAAACACCACGCTTGTTCCCCATTGTAGGTTGGGGAACTCACCCCCAGGGGCACAGCAACAAGGCAGCAGCCTCAGGGCTCTCCTGGGAAAGAGACCCCAGGGACAGAAACGTGTATTTCATTTTTTTCTCCTTTGCTTCCTTGTGGTTGCAACACTTGTCACCCCTGAGGCTTCACACAAATCATTTAGGTTGCATCATGCTGAGGCGGGACAGGGCGCTGCTCACTGGAGTATCTTTTGGAGGTGCTTCCATTCTCAGCTTCACGTTTGCAGACAGGAAGAACTTTAATTTCTTTCTCCCATTACACTGATTCACGAAAATCTGCTCTTCGGACACCTGATAGCAAGGAATGACTGGGGTTCAGGATGCAAGAAGATGGAAGAGGCTGTGCAAGGTTCACACCCTTATCTGCACAGGGTTCCTCTGCTCCATCTGGCTGCTGCCATAGCTAACATCCCACTGGCAGAGCTGTTTGTGCAACCACAAAACCCATCCCATGAAGATGGCAAGGCACACCAGCATCCTGGGCTGGGCTGGTATCTCAAAGCACAGGCTCATTGCTCTCCCATGAGATGGCAATCACATCAGAGTTCAACATCCCAACCCAGAGCCATTAGTTACAAAACAGGGAGAAGAGTTTAAATGCTTGAACATGTTAGCTCAGCCCTTCAGGGAACTCCTGATGTGCCAGAGCGTCTAATCTCTGCAAATCACTTTTATTCTGCCTTGCTCCGGGTTTTCCTTTTTAATCAACTTAATCTTTATTCATGAGGTGTGTTGCTGCTGCGTGACAGAAACGCCCAGATCCTAAGCATCAGGGAGCAGAAATTAGGGGAAAACTTGGGGCTTGTTCCAGCCAGGGCTTAAGGTCTGGAGCAACTATCTGGATGGGACAGGACCCAGCACTCCTTTCTGCCACTGGGAGCCAGAAGAAGGGGCCTAAGAGATGCACCCCTAAGACCAGTGCTTTGATCAGCACATTTCTCTGCTATATTGAGTCCCCGAGGTCCCTGCTCACCTCATCTTGCTGATGGAGCCATTTTAAAAGAAAGAAAAAAAAAAAAAAGGAAATAAAAATAAGTGAAAGGGATTAAAGAGATGAGTGACAACAATGAGAACAAAGAATAAATGAAGTGCTAATAAGATTTCAAGGGGAGAAGTAGGGCAGGAGGGAACCTTGCTCCAAGAGAGACCAACACTAGGACCCCATCATCTGTTCTCCCTCCATTTACATCACATTTTGTGACCCAACCCCAAAAAAGGACCTGGGAGAGCCGGATGGGGTGGAGCACTGTACGACACCCCAGTTGGCTAGGAAATGCCATTCCATTTTGGGAAGACAGCAGCAACTTCCACTTACGCTTCTCAAGAAGCAGAGCTGTCATTTAGGGGTTCCCAAGAGGGGCTGCCCAGGCACGATCCTCTTCCTGCAGATCAGCCCCAAAGCACCCCAATGTACACAGTGAGGCTCAGCAGCCTGCCATGCCCCTGCTTGCATCCTCCCAGGATCAGTTTCCCCCTCCCAGCCATCATCCGAGGTACTGATGGGATTGTAATGCTGTTAATGAGCTGTAATTAATTAATTAGCCTGTTAGCACAGGGGTTTTAGGCTTTTTTGGCAAACACATTTTATAGCCAGAGGGAGGCTCTTCCCCAGCACAGCCACAGCAGATAAGCCCCATCCCTGCGCTGAATACGTTCACTTTCTGCCCAGCAAATTCATACCTCACTGCCTCCATCAGACTGTTTGTGTCACGGGGGAGGACCCTGGAAAAAGCTGCAGACGTTCCTCAGGTCGCAGACAACCCAGTTACCAATTTAAATGCAGAGGGTTCACAAACATCGCCATCAGCCCCGTGAGGACAGCAGTCCCCTCCGGCAAATTTCACAAGAAAAACACAATCCAGGCAGAGAGCACGACATAGCGGGGCTCCCCTCAGTTCCTGCAGGGGGGAAATTCCCTAAAGTACAGAGGCTGTAACTAAAGCAGGCCAGGGTCCAAAGCGACAGCTGAGCTGCACTGAGCAGCCCCAGGATGCTCGGAGCCATGCACAGCGCCTGAGCCTCTCCCAGCCCAGCATCTCCATTACCATGCCGGTTAATAATTGAAGCACCAGCGTGGAGACATTAAAGTTTCAGGGCTGACAGGTCAGGAGCGAGGCAGCAGGCTCAGGGAGCAGTGCCACTAATTAACCCTGCACAGCGCAGGTCTCTGCCCATCCATCCCCGTGGACAGACCCTTTCAGCACCACACGTGTTCCCAGAACTCTTCAGATCTGCTTTGCACAAGCATCCATCCCACACCACAGCGGATACTCGCTCAGTATTAGCTACCTCTCAAAATCAGAGCAGATTTTCTCCCTAGGAAGAGCGGCTTTCTATAGAGTGCCTAGCACTGCACAGAGCCGGCTCTGCGCAAGGGTTACGAGTTACCTTTGCTGGACTGGGATGCTGAACAGGAGAGCTATTCTGCAGGAGCAGATGGAGCCGATGATCCTGGAAGCCAGCCCAGCGCGGTGACAGACTGCCCCACGCTGCCTCCCCCGCAGCACCGCGCCGGGACCCCACATAGGAGCAGCGGCTGAGGGGCTGAGCACCGGCACGACTCATCCCACTGCTGGGTGCCCCCTGGGTGGACATCAACCACCACACCCCCAAACGACACTCCAGTATTCATCCCCCCCTCGTTTCCCCTATTTATAACCCACCCATCCCGCACGTTGGGCAGCAGAGTGCCTCTGCTCTCATTAGACTCAGCTGGGCAGAGCTCACCATCTCCCCCAGGTGCTCTCAGCAATTAAGCTAATTGCATCCCGTTGGGTAGCTGATGCTGCTTCTCTGATGCTGCAGGCTTTGGGTTTCTTTGCAGTTTAGAGGATTGTGAGGCTGTTGAGTGCAGGATGAGGCTAAAATCCTGTAGGCACATTATTGCTCCTTCTCGAATGTTGCTGCAGCAGAGAGGGCTCCAGAGAGGAGCAGCAACAATTGGGGTTCAGAAACCTGGGGATGGAACCCCCATCACTAGCCTTGTGGCACCTCCTGCCTGGGGCTGAATGAGGGGTTGGACTCAGTGATCCTTCCCGCTCTGGTTCTGTTCTATGAAGCTGTGCTGTGGCAGGAGGGAGCTGCAGCACACCTTGGCAACCCGAAACCTCTAAAACAATGCACAGACATTGAACTCCTGTGGAAAAGTCGTGATTTTCCATGCAGCCATTTGAATTCCCTTTGGTTGCTGCATCTCCAGCAAAAGAGCCGTGCAGTTTGCGTCAGGGCAGGCAGACGGTGGGGCTGTCTGAGCAGAGCCGTGGTCAGGGTTTGGAGCACGATGGCTCAGCAATTAATCCTCCCCCGCGACACCGCCTGGGCTCGGGCACAAGGGAGCATTACCTTGATTAAAAACGATGCGTTAATGCAGCGCTCGGTGCCTAGCAGAGCAGATCCCCAGGGTTGCATTCAGCTCCCCATGGGCACCAGGTCCCCTGGCCACCGCTGAGCACTGCGGGGTGATGCTGCTGGGGACCGGCCCTCCTTGCCGGGCAGCCAGCAGGCATTTCTCTCATTAATCCAGCATTCGCTCCATGGAGGATGCTCCTGCCCTTTCAAAGCATCTCCCTCTTTGTCAGCTGCCTTTTCAGGCACTGCAGACACACAAAAGCCATTTTGCTCTGTGCGGTGCCTGGGAGCACATCCGTGCCCCTGCTGCAGAGCTAACGATGCTATCGGTCACCTCTGCTTCTCACCCAGGTGCTCGTCCCACTTCTTCTCAGCCTTGTTTCAGCATTTTCCTCTTACAAAAAAGAGTCTGGGATAAGTTCTTGTTTGTTTTCCCATGATATTATAAATGTGGTGTCCAGACCGTTCCCTCTCCTTGGCCCCGTTCAGCCCAGCCCTGCTGCAGCTTTCTCCCTTCGGGACCACTCCTGCATCTCTCTCCCCCCCAGTGCTGTTTCTGCACCTGCTCTTGTTTGCTTAATCCCAGCTATTTTATTACCTCTCTGGAAAGTTGCTGGGGCCATTTCCCAGCACAGCAAACACTCAGGTCTGCAATGCTTCTGGGGGAGCTCTGAACCTAGGGGGGTGCACAGCCCTCACCCTGCACACCCGGCCCCATTCTCCATGTCAGGATGACAAAGGTGAGCTGAGCTGGCAGGAGCAGGCACAGCACCCAGCAGCTCCCATAATTAATGGTACTGTGAGCACTTCCCTGCTGGGCCATGAATAAAACATCCCTTCTGAGGACCCAAACTTTGAAAAATCTTTTTTTTGCTTTTTGCTCTGTTAATTATATTTGATGGAACGCGGTGCTTTTATTATTTTCTCCTTCCACTTAAGCAGGAGTGAAAGCTGTTTTGGGGTCCTGACTTCCTACAGGGATCAGAGAGGCTCCCCCTGTGCCACTGCCACCCACCACTGCAGTGTCACACCCCACAGGCTGTGGGACACCTAGATTAGTCACGGTGTTTTGGGACATTTCTGGGTCATTCATCATCACGAACCTGGAGAAAAGTCTCTCCAGACCCCTTCCATCCCACAAACATTTCTGCTAACCCCCTTTATCTGCAGGGAGAAAGTAGGGGCTGACGTAAACTATGCAGCTTGGACACTCAGATTGAGCTTCTGGCCCATGGGCCACCACCACCCTGCAGCTTCTGCTGGGCAAGCAATTCCCAAGCCATTGGCATGGAGAACCAAAGCAGTTTCTGAGCAGAAGAGAGCTGCTGTGTGCACACATCCAAGGCTCTGAGCATCTCTCTGGATAAAGGTGAAATTCCACTCCCAGCTCAGCTGGCTCTCATCCAGATGAGCTGCATTAGCAGAGCTTTGCCAGACCAGGATCAGACCCAAATTCAAGCCCTGCCATTGCAAAATTGCCTCAGCCACCCAAAATGCTGCTGCGTGGCCACACTTGGTGCCAGCCAGTGAGGGAGGATGGATGCTGCTTCACTGCAAGCACCACAGTGCCATTCTCTTGGGTTTGGCAATGGCCTCACGTTGTGTTCCCCAGTGTCTCTATGAGCTCCTTGGGCAATGATGGGCATTGCAGTCTACATAGCCCTGCCCAAGGGGATGCCTGCCCCGTGCCTTTATGGGAGATCAGAGAGAGATGGTCATTTCCTGCCCAAGCAAGAAGCGCTTTGCTTCTCACTGGTTCATCTGCCAGGCAATTTTCTCCCTCTGCTGAAAGCACTGGGCTCCATCCAGCTCCAGCCTCCACCCTGCAGCCAACCTGAGGCTACAGCCAGTGATCTGCATGCCCAGCCCGGCCAGGGCTAATGTCCTAATGAAGGTCCCTGAAATACTCAGCTATCAATGAGGTCTGTAACCCTTACAGTGCTAGAAGTGCTCCCATTCAGTGGGATGAGCTGGCACCTTGGCCACTAGGAAATGCAGTTGCGTGAGCAAACTATGGTTTACTTAGTGTTTAAGAGGTTGGCCTGCAGAGGAAAGGGACTTCCAGCAGCAGAAGAATAGAGCTAATAAAGGAAATCCACTCCACTGAGGTGGAGAGGGACTAAGGAGAGAGAAATGAATGAGTAATCTAAACACAGCCACTAACAATCCCCCGGTGCTCTTCAATAAAGCAGAGATTAAGAGGAGGATTTGCAGCCATGCTGCAGCTGGGCTCAGCTCTGCCACGGGGCTGATCAGCTCCACCACAACCTCCTGGTTCCCTGTCTGGGAAGCGAAGACATCCTTGATTGCCCATTAAAAGCTTAATTTGGTGATGGCTGCAAAGGACTCCGGAGATTTGGTGCCATTGGGTGCCAGTGCTGCAGATCAGTCCTGGTCCCACAGCACACCGGGTGCTGTGGAGGTTCTGGTGCCCACAGCCCCACACCTAGCACCACCAAAAAGGGCTTCACTCCTTCCTGCATGCTCAAAATACCTCCTGTCTTCTCCTGGGGTGGAAGCAGCCCTCCCATAGTGGTACCACGAGGCAGAAGCCTTCCCGAGCCCTCCAGGCACATCCCCAGTACAAATAATGAAGAGGAATTTGCACTGGCCAACAAAGATGTAACCGGAGCAATCCCAGCGGGAGCATATTTCTGTAAGCAGGGACTATATGAGAAAGGGCAGGAAACCTGACACGTCACAAATCACTCTCCTGCCACTTGCTGTAGTCTAGAAATGCTCTATTAAAAATAACACCAGCCTCGACTGCCGGCAGCACAGCAGAACCCAGGCCAGGGGCTGAGGGCAGCTCAGGCTCAGGGCTGGCTGCCAGGTGGATGGAAAAGGATCTGAGGTTTATGGCTGATAAGTGCAGCACTGCTCTGCGGTGATTTATAAACACGAAGCTGCCCGTGACATCCATCACCCATGGAGCACACGTGGTGGGGGGAGATGCTGTCCTGGAGGGCCCTGCTGGGCCGGAGGGTGGGAATGGGCTCAGGATGCAGTGAGGTCAGAGAGCTGGGAAATGTCAGCTAACAGCGATGCAGCCAAAAAATGAGGTTCTGGGGAAAGGGGAACTCTTTGCCAATGCAGCACACAGTAAACAAATAATCAGAAAGACGGCAAAAATATTCAAGGGTGATGGAGCATTTCCGTGCTTCTAAAAGGCTCGTGTTTCTTGGGAAGCACAAGTGCCCATTTGCTTTGACATTTTCCAGGTGAGACCTTTGCCAAGTATTACCATTTTCCATTTAGAAACTGGTTGTGAAGGTGAGAAGCACCTGGAGAGGATCAGGAGCTTCCCTTCTTCCCCAGCTCCATTGGAGACACACCATCACCAGACCCATTTTGCCACATCAGGGCCAATGCCCATGGACCTCTCAGCCCTGAGCATGGGCTGGGAGGTGCCAGGTGTCCCCCAGCTGTGGGACAAGCAAGGTGCCCCCACTCCAGCACCCTGCTGCACAGCACACCTCAGCTTGTTCAAATAAAGCCCCATCTGCGCAGATTATTTACAGGAGGATGTTTGCTCTGCTGCAGAAGCTGATTTGGCCATGAAAGTTTAAACAGGAGACAGAAAGGACACTGAGAAGAGCGTCCTGGAGATGGGACACAGCCCCATGGATCCTTCCCAGAGTCAGATCCCCATAGCAGCACACCTCAATCTGAGCTCCCCAGCAATGCAAGCATCTCATTGGCATTGACGCAGTTGTTGGGATCCACAGAGATCCACCGGCCCCGGGACAACCTGCCCTGCAGGTTTGAGGAGCTGCAAGGTGACTTGCCCGTACACAGAGCAAAAATCTCTGTTGACCACTGTAAGTCCAGGTGGTCTCATCAGAAATAACCCTATATGTGGGTTGTATGGAGAAGGGCACGGCAGGGCTGCATGTGAGCTGGGGAAAGAGCAGAGCAAGGGAAATCCTCCATAGAAATGCTTGCCCCGAAGCAGATGCCTTGTTGCTCAGCCAAGAAATAAAATCCCCACGCAGAGACTGAGCCAAGAAACCACCCCATGTCCCTACAGACACTGAGATAACCCCCAGGCCATTCTTCCTTCCCTGTTGGAGGCCCAACCCTGAAGGAAAACACCTTGATAAAACTC